AGGTGCCCATGACATAACTTGAACCCGAACCTTAGTAAGCAAATGGTGGATGAAATTAAAATCATTTAAACATTTTAAATCTATACAAAACAGAGTATTTGATCAAAATCCAACTATCAAATTTGAATAATAGACTAGTTCAACAGCAGCCCTGGTCTAAAGGCCTGAACATTCTCCAATTTCAACCCTTAGATGCCAGGTGTTAAGAACCCACTTCATTTTGCATTCCACTTGTCAACCAATTGATCGATGCTTGAAGACTATAAATTATGAATGAAATCCTCAAATTAAACACACCAATTAAACAGTGTTTGTGTTATTAAGAAGAAATCTTAAGTGCAGATCATGGACTCTCAGAATACAGGCTTCCAAGCTGACCAGGCCGAAGGCAAAGCCCAGGTGAGTAGTAAAATGCTATCATAATTCATTAACATTTGGAAATCAGGCATTTAGACCACCTAATTGTTGTTTGGAGAAGCGTATTCATCGGTGAATTAGGCTCGAGTCCCTTGGAAAGGGGTGTCGGAGAGGGTGAAACCCCGTCACACCTCAACCTATTGCACCACAATGCGCTCTTTACAATTCGGGTTGTTTGGAAAGCAGCCCAAATAACTCTTGACAATAATCCTTTTTTATTTTTAATGAAAAAATAAGAAGGAAAAAAAAACCTGATGAGTGCATTTCATTTCATGTTTCTTCCAGGAAAAGGGAGGCCAAATGATTGACAAGGTTAACAATGCTGCACAATCCGCAAAGGATTCATGCCAAGAGGTGACTATAATATTATGGACTACTAATTTAATGCTTTTTTTTTTTTTTTCGGTGTTTAAAATTAGATGAAATTTAATGGTTTTATGATTTTTATTGATGTTTACAATTTACAAATGAAATTGCATTTTTTTGCAGGCGGGGCAACAAGCTCAGGCGAAAGCTCAAAACGCCGCGGATGTTGTGAAGAACACAGTTGGAATGAACAAATGAAGGAATTATAGGATTCCATGCAGCTTTTCTCATAAGAAATTAATAAATTTTTGAGCTTTTCATCTTTGTTTTTGTTTTGAGATGATGAAGAGGAAGACAGGATTATGTTGTAGTTATGTTTCTTCAATTAATTAAAATTGAATTATGAAGAGAAATTATTTCTTTCTTAGAATATTATGTTTCTTGTTTACTTCATATTTCATATAGCATTGATAGTTCAACAACCGGTCGAGTAAGAGCTTTAATGACTACGTAAGAGCTTTAATGATTACTCTATTAGCAATTGTGGAAACTCGAATTTGAGAGATCATGTTAGATCGTCCTTGGCTCTTTTACCATCAGGCCAGCCTGTGGTGGTTTACATTTCTATTAGTTGCTCAACATAAAAGAAAAACTAAAGCTTTATAATCACAGAAAAAATGAAATTAAATGTTATTGATCGAATCCTTCATAATTGACCTTGTATTGTATTCATTTCAACAACATTATACTTAACAATAATAAGTGGCTAAGAAACCCAATCCTGAAGACGAAGAACTATACAAGTCATAAAGATAAAAAAAAAAAAAAAAAAAAAAAAAAAAAAAAAAAAAAAAAAAAAACAAATGAAAACGAAAAATAATTACTGATTTTAAACAGAGGTGGCAAATTGACTCCATGAATGATTAAGCCTTGAAAATAAGAAATCATTTTAAGTAATGGGAATAGGGTGTAAAATAAAACCACTTCCCTTGTGGCCGATCGGTAAAAGGGGCTTAGTATGCAACTGGGTCCCCTTGATATCATGTTTGAATCCTACAAAGGATTAAGTGTATTCCGTGATCTTGAGATTCGGCAGGCTTCAATATGGGTTTGGATACCTTAGAAGTTAGAAAAATAAAATCTAAGGCTTCGTTTGATTCACATTTTTACGTTTTGAGAAAAGTTTTTTGAAAAAAGTTAAAAAAAAAAAGTTGAATTGGGCAGGTATTACGATGTAGGATTTACAAATTAATAAAATACCCCCTATGTTTGTTTTTTTACAAAACAACCCTATAATAAAACATTAAAAGTTAACAAAAACACCCCCAACCCACCCATCAAATATAGACAGCTAGCCACCAACGCCGGAGGGTGGCCGGAGTCGCCGTATCGACGCATGACCGTCTGGATCTTACCGGTCGTGTTCCGATATAGCCTTTTCCGGTCAGATTTACAGCTAGATCTGGCCATTGACGACCAGATCTAGCTACATTTGCTCGTCAACGATGACCATATGTTGGTCGTCGTTGACATCTGGTTACGAGCAAAGATCTGGCCATCAACAGCTAGATCTTTGGCCTTAGATCTGGCCGAAAAAAGCTAAATCGGTACTCTACCGGCAAGATCCAGCCGGTAGTGTACCATCCTACCAAATTCCGACCAACTTCCGGCTGTGGTGGCCGGAATCTGGTATAATGTGGGTTTAGGGGTGTTTTTACAATTTTGAAAAAAAATATTTAAGGGTATTTAATTAAATTAACAAATATAGGGGGTTTAAACAAAGTTAAAAAATATTGGATAATATTGTGAGTTTTTGGGTATTTTACTGTTTTACTTTTTTGAGAATACTAATAATAGTATTCCCAAAAACCAACCAAAAGGAGCCTAAATCTTTTAGGGTATTTTTGGTATTAATCGATGTTTTAAAAAATAAATAGAATTGTACTAAATAATGCAGAATACTAATAAATTATGCAGGGGATAAAAATCATTTCCATTTTATACATTTTAGGAAAAAAGGTGTACCAAGAAATAAAAATTTATGACTTTAGAAAAAAAAAAAAAAAAAACCTTATTTTTAGCAATCACATAAAAGGGCCTGTCCAGTTAGGCCCGGGAAAAATTACAAGCCTGGGTTTTTAATGCCCGAGCGGGGCCTGAGTTTGGTCGGAATAAAGGGCCTTTTTGAAAATTTTCTTGTGTTTAATTTTCAGGGGTTATTTAATATTTTGCTACATAAATGATAAAAGATAGCTACATGTAGGTTTTTGAGAGCTTTTTAAAATTTTACTTTATTGAAGTTTTCCATTACTTAATAGGGTGTTAAGTGTATTCTTAAGTGGTTATATGCAGTTTTTTAAAAACGCTATATAATATATGATAATAGTGAAGACCATGTATTGTATTTATTTCAACAACATTAAACTTGTTTGAACAGTAAGAAGTGGCTAACAGACCCAATCTTCAAGACAAAGAACTATACAAGTCATAAAGATAAAAAGAAAAAAAATTGGTCTTTGTGAAGCCATAAAGAAAATTGGCAAATGAAGAGTACAATATGTAATTGATAATTCAAAGATATTTTGAATTTAGTTTTGTAAAGCCAATTCAAAACCAGAGTTCTTGTTGAATTCTATAATTTTTATAAAATAAGAAACGATGGTCTTTGACTATGTAGATGTCATGAATTTACTCTTGTGAAGCCAATTTAAACCTAGAGTCCTTGTCAAACCCTACAATCTTTATAAAATAAGAAACAATGACTTTTAACTATGTAGATGCTCATTAAGGAGCTCAAATCCCAAAAAATTGAAATCAGAGTTCTTGTCAAACCCCACAAACTTTGAGAAGTAAGAAATAATAATCTTTAATCATGTAAGTGTCTATGAGAGCATATCCAACCCAACGCAGTGTGGGAAATGTACTCCAACCCAACACCAAATTGGTGTAAGTGAACAGTATCACACCAAATTTGGTGTAACACTATTCATCCACACCAATTTGGTGTGGCACTATTCATCTACTATAAAATATATTTTATTTTCTTATTTTTGTTATTTATATTTATGTTAATTTGATTATTATTTATATTAATATTTATAATAATTATATAATTCAAAAAATAATGAAAAATTAAAAACAAAACTTTATTCAATACAAATATTAAATTACAATAGCTCAAAATAAAAATTAACACTAATTTAAAAACACTAAAATTAAAAAAAAAAATACAACATAAATTAAAATAACAATTTAATATTCCGGTAGATTAGTTCCGGATCCTCTAAGATCATCAAAATATTGGAAAGAACTAGAGCTATTTTGAGATCTTTGACCTTGTTGTTGAGCTCTTTTTTGCATAATTCTTGATTGCTCATTTTGAAAAAACTCATGTAGACTTGGATAGGTTATGAAATTCAAATTCTTGAATAAAATTTTGTTATCTTTCTCGATATTTTGCCAAAGCCAATTTTTCCTTGTCTCTTTTTTTTTTTTTTTTTTTTGAAGCATTTTATATTAGATGTAATATTTTTTTATATTAAATGTAATGTTTATTTAATTAAATAAATGCTTAATTTTATTAAATTAGTATAATTTTCAAAGTAATTATTATTTAATAAAAATATCATTCATAATATTTAATTAATATATACAAAAATAATTAGTGAAATAGATTAATTATTGATTATTAATAGAAAGAAAAAGAATATTATAAGAAATATTCTTTTTGATATAATATTTAGTGTAATGAGTTAGAGATGCAATAATAAAATATACCAAAAATCACACCAATTTAGTGTGAAACTTTCACAAATTTGGTGTTTGTGATTGGAGGTGGTCTGAGAGGATTCAAACTTCAAAATTTTGAAGTTGAAGCTCCATCGAATCTTACAATCTTTAAGGAGCAAAAAATAATAACATTTAGTCATGTAGATGCCCATGACATAACTTGAACCCGAACCTTATTAAGTAAATGGTGGATGAAATTAAAATCATATTAAACATTTTAAATCTATACAAAACAGAGTATTTGATCAAAATCCAATTATCAAATTTGAATAATAGAATAGTTCAACAGCAGCCCTGGTCTAAAGGCCTGAACATTCTCCAATTTCGACTATTAGATGCCAGGTGTCAAGAACCCACTTCATTTTGCATTCCACTTTTCAAGCAATTTATTGATGTTTGAAGACTATAAATTATGAATGAAATCCTCAAATTAAACACGCCAATTAAACAGTGTTTGTGTTATTAAGAAGAAATCTTAAGTGAAGATCATGGACTCTCAGAATACAGGATTCCAAGCTGGCCGGGCCGAAGGCCAAGCCCAGGTGAGTAGTAAAATGTTATCATGATAATTCATTAACGTTTGGAAATCAGGCATCCGGACCATTTAATTGTTGTCTGGAGAAGCGTACTTATCGGTGAATTAGGCTCGAGTCCCTTGGAAAGAGGCTTCAGAGAGGGTGAGACCTCGTCATACCCGAACCTATTGCACCACAAGGCGCTTTCTACAATTCGGGTTGTTTGGAAAGCAGCCCAAATAGCTTGTGACAATAATCCCTTCTATTTTTACCCAAAAAAAAAAAAAAAAACCTGATGAGTGCATTTCATTTCATGTTTCTTCCAGGAAAAGGGAAGCCAAATGATGGACAAGGTAAACAATGCTGCACAATCCGCAAAGGATTCATGCCAAGAGGTGATTATAATATTATAAACTACTAATTTAATGCCTTTTTCGAATGTTTAAAATTAGAGTGAAATTGAATGGTTTTTTGATTTTTATCGATTTTTACCGTTACAAATGAACTGCATTTTTTTGCAGCGGGCAGCAAGCTCAAGCGAAAGCTCAAAACGCTGCGGGCTGTGAAGAACAACAGTTGGAATGAACAAATGAAGGAATTATAGGATCCCATGCAGCTCTTCTCATCAAAAATTAATAATTTTTGAGCTTTTCATCTTTGTTTTTGTTTTGAGATGATGAAGGAAGAGGGGATTATGTTGTAGTTATGTTTCTTCATTCTTAATTTTTCAATTAATTAAAATTGAATTATAAAGAGAAATCCTTTCTTTCTTAGAATATATGTCTTTGTTTACTTCATATTTTATATAGCATTGGCAGTTCCAACATGTCTATTAGTTTCTCAACATCAAAGAAAAATTAATGCTTATAATCCCAAAAAAAATAAATTAAGGCTTCATTTGGTTCAAGATTGGGAAACTATCTTATATTCCCAAAAAGTTAAACAGTAAATACCCAAAAACTCTTATTTTTGGGAATACTATTTTCATTTATTTTCAATTTTTTTTAAACCCCTACTATTTGTTAATTAATTAAATACCCCTAAATATTTTTTTAAAATTACAACCACCCCAACAATCCACATTTACCAGATTCCGCCCACCCGCCGAAAATGGCTGGAATCTGGTAGGATGCGCACTACCGCTGATCTGGCCGGTAGTCCCGATCTGCCTTTTCCGGCCAGATCCAGGTGGATCTGCCGGAAAAGGCCAGATCTAAGGCCAAAGATCTGGCCGTTGACGGCCAGATCTTTGGCCGTAACAGTCGTGCACGACGCCCAACAACGGTCATCGTTGACCATCAACGACGACCGTTTGTTGCCGTCGTTGAGCAAATACGACCAATCTGGCCTTTGCCGCAGATCCACCGTGGATCTGGCCGTAGATCTGGCCTTTGTCGGCTAGATCCACCGTGGATATAGCTGGAAAAGGCCATATCGGCGCATGACCGGTAAGATCCAACGGTCATACACCATAAGGCGACTCCGACCCCCTCCGGGTGGTGGCCAGTTGGGGGTTTTGAGGGTGGGTTAGGGTGTTTTTTGTTAACTTTTAATATTTTATTATAGGGGGTATTTTAAAAAAACAAACATAAGGGGTATTTTATTAATTTATAATCCTACATCGTAATACCCGCCCAATTCAACTTTTTTCAAAAAACTTTTCCAAAACCCCCAATTTGAACCAAACGAAGCTAAATGTTGCTGACCAATCCTCTTAATTGACCATATATTGTTCATTTCAACAACATTAAGCTTGTTTAAGCAAATAAGAAAGTGGCTAAGAGACCCAATCCGAAGACGAAGAAGTGCACAATTCATGAAGATAAAAAAAAAAAAAAAAAAAAAGGCCACTGATCTTTGTGAGCTATAAAGCAAATTTGCAAATGAAGAGTACAATATGCATCCATAGTTAGGGGTAATATTCTGATATGAGATATTTCAAATTTGGTTTTGTGAAGCCAATTCAAAACAAAGTTCTTGTCGAACCCTATAATTTTCATAAAATAAAAGATGGTCTTTAACTATGTAGATGCCCATGAATTTGCTCTTGTGAACCAATTTAAAATTGGAGTCCTTATCCAACCCTACAATCCTTATAAAATAAGAAACAATGACCTTTACTATAGTGCTCATGAGGGAGCTCGAATTAGAAAGAATCGAAGTCAAAGTTCTTGCTAAACTCTAAAACTTTGGAAAGTAAAAATATAATCTTTAACCAATATTTTTTATGAGAGACTAGAATTTCAAAATTTTGAAACTGGAACTCCTCAAACCCTATAATCTTTGAGAAATAAAAAACAATAACGTTCGGTCATGTATGTGCCATGACAAACTTGAACTCGAACCTTATTAAGCAAATGATGGATGAAATTATAATCATATTAAACATTAAAGTTTGGCTTTTATCATTTTAAATCTAGACAAAACAGAGTATTTTATCAAAATCCAACTATAAACTTTGAATAATAGACTATTCACAGCTGCCCTGGTCTAAAGGCCTGAACTTCTCCAATTTCAACCATTGGATGCCAAGTGTCAAGAACCCACTTCATTTTGCCATCCCTTGTCAAGCAATTGATTGATACTTGAAGACTATAAATTATGAATGAAATCCTCGATCAAACTCACCAATTAAACTACTTCAATTAAAGTGTTGTGTTATTAGAAGAAATCTTTAGTGAGACATGGACTCTCAGAATACATTTTTCCAAGCTGGCCAGGCCAAAGCCAAGCCCAGGTGAGTAGTCATGCTACGTGAAAATTCATTAACGTTTGAAAATGGGGCATCCGATGACCTATTGTTGTTTAGGAGATGCATACTCAATGATGACCAGGCCTAAGTCCCTTGGAAAGGGGGTCGAGAGGGTGAGACCCTGTTGCGCCTGCACCTAATGCACCACAAGGCCTTTTTACAGTTCGAGTTGTTTGGAAAGCACGCCCAAATAGCTCGTGACAGTAATCCTTTTTATTTTTAGTGGAAAAAAAAAAAGAAAAAGACCTGCTGACTGCTTTCATTTCATGTTTCTTCCAGGAAAAGGGAAGCCAAATGATGGACAAGGTAAACAATGCCACAATCCGCTAAGGTTCATGCCGAGGTGATTATACATTATTACCTACTAATTTATGCCTTTTTTCAATGTTTAAAATTAGATGAATTAATTGTTTTATGATTTTTATTGAGTTTTACAATTTACAAATGGATATGCATTTTTTTGTAGGCGGCGCAGCAAGTTCATGCGAAAGCTCAAAACACTGCAGATGCTGTGAAGAACCACATTGGAATGAACAAATGAAGAATTATAGGATCCAAGCAGCTCTTCTCATCAGAATTAATAAATTTTTTTATTTTTCATCTTTTTTTTGTTTTGAGATGATGAAGAGGAAGACGAGATTATGTTGTAGTTATGTTTCTTCATTCTTTTTTTCAATTAATTAAAATTGAATATAATGAGAAATCTTTTTTTTTTTCTTAGAATATCATCTCTCTTGTTTACTTCATATTTATATAGGATGGCAGTCCAACATTCTATTATTTGCTCAACATCAAAGAAAAATTAAAGCTTATATCCCAGAAAAAATAATTAATGTTACTGGACCAATTGTTTCATAATTGACCATGTTTGCATTCATTTCAACAACATTAAACTTGTTTGAGCAATAAAACTGGTTAGAACCACTTTTGAGTGGCCAGGTGGGGCGTTATGAACTTTTGAGTGTCTTACCAAGAGATTTGAGTTTGGTTCCTCTCAATTGCTTTTAGGGGTGGCCATTGGAGGGTTAACTCGGTCATTAACTTTAGGATCCCAAAGGTTAATTGAGGTACGCACAAACTTGTCCGATATCCTCGGTCACAAAAAAAAAAAAAAAAAAAGAGTGGCTAAGAGATCCAATCGGAAATGAGAAGACACATGTCATAAAGATTAAAAAAAAAAAAAAAAAAAAAAACCGATAAAGAAAAATATTTATTGATTTCATACAGATGTGGAAGATTGACTCCATGAATGATTAAGCCTTGAAAAAAAGAAAAAAAACATTTTCTTAGTCTTTCAAGGTATTTTTGGTATTAATTGAGGTTTTAAATAATAATTAGGATGAACTAAATAACGCGGGATACTAATAAATTATGCAAGGGATAAAATAATTTCCATTTTATACATTTTAGTAGAGCTGGACATTTGGGACCAGGCCCAAAAGCCCAACTCTAAAACTCGGTCTTAGGACTGGTCCTCGAGAGGACCGGACCTAGGAGGCCTGGTCCCGAGGAGGGCCCGGGCCCTCCTCCAAGGTCCCAGGCCTGGGCTCAAAAAAATTTATATTTTTTCAATATAGTCCCCTACCAAATTATATAAAACCCCCTGTTAATTTGAAAATAAATATAAATTAAGAGGGCTAAAATGATATTTTACAAAATTTATTAAAAAAAAAAAATCTTCTAAGTCTAAAAAATTTATAAATTTTACCCCTAAAAAATACTAAAAACCCCCATAAAATTTCATTTTGCCCCCAAAATATAAAAAAAATTGAGGGGGGAAAATTAATTATCCAAGCCTTATGGGATTGGTCCTAGGACCGGTCCTGGGCCCATAGGACCAGTCCCTACCAGGCCTAAGGCCTAGTCCGGGTCCTAATTTTTCTCATGGGCTTGGGACCGATCCTAGGCCCATGAGTGACTGGTCCCATTTGAGACCAGTCCCAAACCGGTCCCTGCCCACCTCAACATTTTAGTAAAAAAGGGTGTACCAAGAAATAAATATTTGTGAGTCTGGAAAAAATCCTTATCTTTCTAAAAGGGCCTGTCCGGTTAGGGCCAGGAAAAATTACAAGCCCGTGTTTTTAATACTCTGGCTGGGCCGGGTTGGGTTTGGTCGGGATAAAGGGTCTTTTTGAAAATTTTCTTGTGTTTAATTTTCAGGGGTTGCTGAGTATTTTGCTACATAAATGATAAAAGATAGTTGGACATAGGATTTTGGTTTTTGAGAGCTTTTTAAAATTTTACTTTATTGATTTGAAGTTGTCTAGTACTTGGGTTAAGTGTATTTTTAAGTGGTTATATGTAATTTTTCAAAACACTATACAATATTGAGTAATACTACATTGACAAACACTTATCATTAACTTTCTCTCACAAATCTGATGTGTCAGCTTCTAATTAGTCAACTTGCATGGGTCCTGTCTGTCTAACATGGTTTCGGTGACCAAGCCAGTTGCGAGTTGTTACATGGTTAGTGAGAGGTGTTACTGAGAGATGTTTGTGAGGTAGTATTATATATAATCATTTTAGGCCAGACCAAACTTAGGTCAAGTGTTTTTTCACATCTATGGATAAACAACATCTTAGCTCAATTGCCGATCAAAGATTTGTTTGGTACAGTTTGTTCGAGTAGAGTTTATAAAA